TTCTCTACGGAAGACCACTTGGTGTGGATTTTGAGAGCTCTGCAGTGAGCTCCCCAGCCTGTGAGGCTGCCATCAGTGGTGACCTGTATTTGTGGTCGTGGTTGTCGGCACAGCCAGCCGACAGACAGGTTAGGAGGAAAACGCCACCACTGAAATTGTTAGGCAAGTTCTGGGGTGACCCTTAAAAGAGTGTGAGGAGAGTCTGTTAGCGGGTCGAAGAGGGTGAGAAACCACGACTGAAGAGATCTCATCTTGAGATGTACGTGCTGCACTACTGAAGTCATAGAGGCCATGGTGCCTCTATGCATAGTCAAGGCGTGTACCATAGCCTGAGAGGTGAAAACTTGAAGGAATGCAATGAGATTTTCTCTCTTGTCTGGATGAAGAAAGGTGCAAGCTTGTGTGGAATCTATGCATGTGCCTATATAATGGATAATCTTTGTAGGTTTCAAATTTGATTTTTGTTCGTTGACAGCAGGACCGAGCTTGCGAAGGAGGGTAAGGGTGAAGTGAGTGTCTCATTGGGCCTTGCAACGGGAATGAGCTACAAGGAGCCAATCGTCAATATATGGAAATATGAGATTATTTTGCAACCTGAGGTAAGCAGCTACTGGTGCCATGGACTTGGTGAAGAGTCTTAGAGCTGTTGCAAGGCCTAAAAGGAAGCCTTTTGAATTGGTAGGCTTGTGATCCTAGCTGAAATTTAAGGAATTTTCTGTGTGAAGGATGTATGGAAATATGGAAGCATGCATCTCAGAGATCTACGACAATGAACCAGTCGTTTTTGCTGAGTAAAGGGAGAATGGATTCGAGGGTAACCATATGGAATTTTATGGTAATGATGTATTTGTTTAACTCTCATAGGTCTAAGATAGGTTGAAGACCTCCATCCTTTTTGGGTACAGTGAAATAGCAAGAGAAAAAACCTTCGTTGTCTTGTGAGACAGGTTGTATGGGGTCTCTGAGGAGTAAATTTCTTATTTCCCCTTTTAGGGTTGGAGATGGTTGAGTGATGACATGTGTTGCCGGAGGAAGTTGAAAGAAATGGATGCGGTAGCCGTCGCGGATGATGGACAGTACCCAGGCAT